TCTTTACCCATACCTAGAACTTGACTCAAGAACCAACACATTTGAGCATTACAGCACCCCCTCAGTATGGGTGGAGTAACTACATATTATCGTGTTCAGTCACTAAAAACACACTGCTAAAAACTCTCTTCTTCTCCTTGGTGGTTTTGCCTCACCTACTCTTATTTTTTAAATCTTATATTATGTTTTATGTTTTCATATATTTGTTGATATAACTTGGTTATGTTGCTTTTACCTCCTTTTGTTTGTGCTTTGGTCTGAATTCATGTAATTGTGCTCGATGATGATGACGGACGATGCTGTCAGTGTTCGTACAGCACTTTGATCGATTATGATTCTTCTAAAATGTGCTTCATTATAAAGTTTGAACTAACAAAATTATTCTTTTGTCACGTTTTAATCAGCTAATTGATTTTTGTTTTTCATTTTAATCTTGATTTATCTTATTAGTGAGAGAAATGAGCACGTTTGGAAACAAACACCACCAAACTCCTCTCACCATGTGCCTTCATAAATCTCTGTTGAGCCCAAAGGAAGAATCAGAAAAATCAGTGGCTATTTATTTTCCTCTGCAGCCTTTGCATCATTTCAGTCTGACTGATGATCTGAGCTTCTGTGGCTTCAGTAAACACTCTCCACGGACCCAGCTCACAGGCTCACACGCGTGTGTTACCCGCTCAGTCATGGCTGGATATTAGAGCCCTGCTGGACTGTTTGTCAAAGTGAGACTCAATTACAGCAGACAGGGATAAGGATTTTTATTTTGATAGATTTGTGCTGGTGGTTATCAAGGCTGTCTGTCTGCTGCACAGCTGACACAGCACGCCCACATCTGCATCATAGCATTTAAGACAAATGTCTGAGCGTGCCCAGATGATGGCTCCTCCTTTGACCAGACTGGGATTTATGACTGGGCTCCAGGTTCTTAGTCATGTAATGTGACTGGTTTTTAGTGTTGACGTTTTATCAAGCGCTTTAACTTAGAGCTCCAGTGAGAATTTTATCAAGCGCTTTAACTTAGAGCTCCTTTAACGTTTTATCCTCCATGATGTAAAACACCACAGGCTATGCCATTGGTGTGTTTTCACATACGTACTCATCCATCTCTACTGCAATACTTGAATCCTTCTAGAAAATGAATAATTTGCAGCTCCTCATTTCTTCAGCAGATGTCACTGTTCATAATCTACATATTTGGCTCAGGGTTTTTGCATATGTGGGTGAAGCAGAAATTATTGATGAGGAGTGAAGGGACGGTTGTATCAAGATTTAAATACAGCAGGGCTGTCAAACCCAATCACTCAATTTAAAACACAGCCAATCACAGCCTGTGTTACGGCCCACACAGCATTAGCATGTATTCATTCAATCTTTTTATTCTAAGACACAAGAGGCTCTGGTGGGCCATATAAAATTATCTGGAGGGCAAGATCTGGCCCATGGGCCTTGAGTTTAAAACCTTTACCAAGTGCATATTGTGACAAAGGCACCCAGTATTGCCCCCTGGTGGAAGAGGGTGGCCAAAACTGTTCCCAATGAAAGGTTACATGTAGTTATGTTGGGGTGTTTTTTTTAATGATTTTGTCTCCCTTTTTAAAATTATCTGCCTGAAAACATGAGGTGGTTGCTTTTCAAGGGAAAGTGCTTCAAAGGTCAGGGCAGGGCTGTCTTCCTTGACCTGCTAACGATCCACATTATCTACCTAGCAACAGAGAGGAAAAAAGATTTTTTATAAGAATACGTTTCATAAACATTGTTAATTTTTCATGGTGCTGTAAAAATGGTTGAATAAGATTTATGGATCAGAATTAACCAACAACACACACACGTCCATACAGTGACACACACAGACACAGACACGTGCCAGCAGGTTCTTATCTGTCCCCTGCCTCAGTGCTGCAGCTGCAGTTTATTTGTGTGCTCAGTGAGGTGAGCATTAGTGCCATTAGAGCCAGAGACTGAACCAAACCTTGGGTGGTTGGATTTTTGGATTTACAACCTGAGTCCTCAGACTGCAGCCCTCCAAATGAGATCATAAACACACCTATTATTTCCCCCATCATAGTTGGTCTGAAAATAAAATTCTTCTACACACACACACACACACACACACAGTAGCTGAGATCTAATCTGTGTGTCTTTTTTCAGTATACCTTTAATATTCAGCTAATGGAGTTTTCTGTCCCTGGGTTTACCTGTGCTACACAAGTAAAGTGAACATGAGTCTACATGCCATCATTTTGTTCCATAGCAGGTTCAAGGCAAATTGAAAAAATACTTTTAAAAAAATCTAAATAAATTTATTTATTTATTTAAGTCTAAAGACCAATTTTAACATTTCTGTTTGGGGTTTGATAAAAACTTCGATCTGATTTTGTTGAAAATTGTCTTTGAGGATATGGTCATAAAAGTTGTTGATGTTTGTTTTTGTTGTGGTTATTTCTCATCCTTTAACTGAATAGTCTTTTTGTTTTGTTTTTTATTTATGAAACTAAACTAAACTAAACTAAAAACAAAATAACACCAGGCTGTAACTCGTAAATAAATGATTACCAGATGTATGACTAATTACTTGACCAAAAGCAATTCTTATAGTTTGATGAATGACTATATAAATTGTTACATTTGTTTCAGGAACTGTGTTGTGGCTATGACTAATGAAGCCTCTGGTGTTGTGTGTTTACCTCCAGTGGCCACAAAAACACAAAGAATTTAATTTCCTTCTTGTCATTTAGAAACAAAACAAGCAGATATTATTACTGTGTCTGGTACATTATTGTACTGTAATACTGTTGTGTTGTGAGTTTCATCACCACGTTATTGTGTCGCTGCTGCTGCGAGGGAAAGAATTTCATTTGTATTTCACTGGTTGGATAGAATGTTTTTATTTATTTATTAATATATTTATTTATTCTGCTCTACAGAAGTCATCACTTCAAACACATGCTCTTTTTCTTCAGTTCTTAGAGAATAACCACAGTCTAACCTGAGGCTTAACTCTCACTCTGTCACTGAACAGTGGGTGACTCGAGTCTCCAGCCTTGGTTCCTCTGCAGATCAGAAACACAGAAATGATGAAAACATTGTTCAGTCTCTCTCCCTCTCTCGCCCTCTCGCTCTCTCACCCTCTCCCCCTCTCTCTCCTCCCTTCCTGTCATCATCAGACACCCTGCTGGGTTTATGAAAGATGTCGACATCCGACCGCAGCTCACTGATTTATTTGTTTGCTCTAACAAGTGATTACTCTGGTTGTTGAATTTGACGACCTGACCCTCGGGGGTAAAGTGCCACAGTGTGGGCAGATTAATGGATCGGGACGTGTACTGTTACTCTTTTTATGTCATATGAGGCTGTTTTGAGAGAACGCACTAAGTAAAGAACATGAGCTAATATGCTAATTAGGTCCTGAGGCAGCTAATAAAAAATGAAAAAAGCTGTGCTCACTCTCTGTTCAGCTGGATGTCTTGACTATGTGGGAATTAATGAATATTGTTTTTCATATATTTATTGATATATTGTCTAATATGATGACTGTCAGTTTGAAGTATTCTGTTTAATACAGAAATATATGTTTCATTTTGATTGACGTATTCTCCTGATGATGAGAAGAAAGTAGAACCGTCTGTAAGTGTTTCCCTGCCTGGTGTCCTCACTGAAGTTTGTGTAGAGCTCACACACACACACACACACACACACACACACACACACACACACACAGTCGTAGGAAGGTGTTGGTCATCTGTGTGGTATGCAGCCTGTGTAAAAACGATCTGGTCGTGTTTGATTCCTCTCCTCTCCTCCTCCCGTCCTCAGACTGGCCGGTTACGTTGAAGCCTTGGCGTCTCGACTGGGGATGCAGATCCCTGACCTGAGCCCGAAGCAGGCGGACATGTGGCAGACCAGAGTCAGCTCTCACGCGGTGGGTTCCTCACTCAACCATCACGAACCACTGACCGTCGTGAACCACTCGATCTGGTCTCCCTGTCTCTGGAACATTGTTCTCATTAATTCTTTATCGTGTTTAGGAGAATCACAGACTAACACAGGGTCAGACCAGAGGTTGAAAATGAAAGGACACAATGATAGACCCTGACATTATTAAAACATACAAACAAACTACCTCTGTCCTCAACAGGGGATTTTCTGATGCACATGTTGACAGACTAGAGCACGGGTGTCAAACTCAGGCCAGCGGGCCAAATCTGGCCCATGCTGTAATTATGTGGTAAACCACAAACACATTTATAAATATAACCACAGATTCTGGACTACGTAGCTCTGTCCGTGTGATTAGAAAGACTGGGGATCCAACCAGGGGTTCTTTTTACTGTAAAGGCATGCATTCTAACATTTACCACCCTGTGGCGCAATCCCACACTAGAAACTTAGACAGGAATGATTTGAATACCTGGTTCCTGCTAAAGTGTATTTAACGGTAATTAGCCTCAGCTCCAGAGAAACATCCATGAAAGGTCAGATCAATTCTCCAGACGTGTGAGGAAATCAATATGTCAGTGTGGACACATTCACAGCAGTGGTTTTCTGTCTCTGAGATCTTCACCCACAGCTTCGGCTTCCTGGTGATTTGACCTCGAACTGAGCTGCGACTCACCTGACGTGTGACTTCTCTCCACATGTGTCCAGGGTAAAGCCATCGGCGTCGGCATCGGCTGCATCCTGGGCATGTTCCCGCTCCTCTTCTTCAAGGACGACGAGGAGAAGAAAGACAAGGAGGCCAAGAAGAATCCGCAGCAGCCTCCTGCTCCTCCTCCTCCTGCTGCACCATCTGCCTCCGCTGAGAGCAGCAAAAACTGAGCGTGACAGCTTTGTGGGGACAACTATTATTCTCAATCTGTTAGAATACTTTAAACTGGCACTGATTGGCCGACGCCCGGTGGACGGAAGTGTGTGGGGAAATGCGACTGGAGGCTCTCCAGGGGGGCGGGGCCTAATCGAACCATCAAAGGTATTCTGAAGAGAGAGTTTTAGATTGACTCTGACTGTAGATGTTTAACTGAAGCACAGGGACCTCCTCGTCTTTATACGGAGACGTGAGACTGCTGCTACTGTAACTTGTTGCACCCTAACCTCACCTCATCCTGACTGACTGAAGCTCATGTCTGTTCAGAGGAACAAACGTTCAAGTGTTGACTCCTGATGATCAAATTTAAAGCTACAGCTCCCTGGAAATACAACAGAAATGATTAAATTCAGAGCAAAGAAAACAAAATATTTGAAAAGAAAAATAGAGGGAAAAAACTAAGGGTTTGGTTTATGATTGTATTTTGTTTCTGGGTGTTTCATCAGAGTTTAATCAGAAATCAAGAGACACATTTCAGTCTGACATACACATAAATCATTCTGTCATTGGTTTTGGAGATTGTTGAGGAGAAAAGAAATTCACATTTGCACACTACATATATGTTAACTGTATATATTTAAGAATGACCGTTCCTGTTCTGTTCCTTTTAGGTTTTATTTGGATGATTTCAGAGTCGCCAGCGGGTGAAATCACGCACACAAAGGAAAACAACTTTGAAAACTTTGAAACAAATTAAAAAAAAAAAAAAAGTAGCAGGGTGTAGGAGCAGGGTGTAGACCACATCAGCAGTAGCAGGGTGTAGTAGCAGGGTGTAGACCACATCAGACCACTGCCCCTCTGTGCTGTCCTTGTCATGTCCAGCTCTGCTTCAGCTGGACTGCCTGGTTTACACCTTGTTTTCTCTGTACTGTGTTTTTCAGATGTAATTATTATTCAGTTAGAGACTGTAATATTGATGCTGATCTGTAGGAGGCAGCGTTGAAGGCGGTTGAACGGCAGAGTTGCCACGTTTTATTATTGTTGTTGCTTGTTTTTCCTCTACATTCACTTGAAAGCTGTTTTAATTTGCTTGTTTAGAAAGTATTATTTGTTTATTCAGGCTTACTTTTGTTTATGTCTCTACAAGATGTTAGTGGAAGAGATGGAGGTGGTCTGTGGTCAGATCTGGCAACACTGATCACGATGAATTGGATTAGAAATGAGCGGCTCAGGGAGACAGTTACGGTTGAGCAGTTATGAGATATTGGACAATAGGTGTTGGAGACATGGAGGACATTTATGGATGTCGTGATGGAGACATTTAGATTGGTTGGTGTAACGGTGGAGGACGCAGGGGACAGGAGGAAATGGAGACAGATGGTTAAAATGAAAAGTTTGTTTAACTATATAATCTTTGTTCTGCTGCCCTCTACTGGTGGACATAAGAAGTTGTCTGATTTTAACACTCACTCATGGTGACTCTCAGCACCATCTTGCATCCTCTGTTATGATATTTTGCACGGAAGATCTGTTTAGAACTTAATTATTCTCGTTTAACCTTATTTTTTTAATGCAAAAACAGACACGAAACTCAGTAGCAGTAAGATAATCAAAAAATAATATGGAATCTTAGGAAACTACAACTATTGGTTGATTTATTTTTTTATGATTTATTTTTTAAAAGATCTCCTTATAGACAAAGACTGCTTTTTTTCATGCAAAAAAATTCTAGCAAAAACCGAAGAAGAAGAAGAAGACTGTTGTTGTTGTTGTTGTTGTTGAAGGCTTTTAAATCTGTTGAAGAATGAACACAGCCACGTACAAACGAAGGAACCAATTATTTATTCTGGAAAAAACTCATTTCATCTCATCTCATCGTTATCATTCTGTGTTGTCTTTATTTGGAGCAGTGATTTTTACAGAATCACTTGACACTAACGTTCTCATATTCTTCATGTCACTACTTGTATTGTGGATGGCAGCGTTTGAAAAAATAACAGTTTTAAAAATTTAAAATATAAGAGTTAACGTTATTAGGATTTTGTTTTTTCAATATTTCGTTGCTCGACCTTTCCTGCATGCACTGCTAATAATACAAAACTATTGTATTGGTATTTTTTCTTACTTTGTACAAAAACATTTTTAAAAATGTTGCGAAGATATGAAGTGCAGCAGGACGGTGTTACCCAGGGCTGAATATGGGTTGACTGAGGTGACTGTTGGATTACTGTACAAAAGATAGCTCTCTAAACTCATTTGTTACAGTATTCTATGATATATTTGATGTGTTTTGCCCTTCACAGACTCCGGTGATTCTTATATTCATGCTGAGAAAGTTCTGTTAAGGTTCTCTCATCAGGATTTCATAGGTGCAGAAAGTTGGAAAACAAGCAAAAAAAATATAGTCGGCTGTCAGTAATGGAGGGGAAACAGTGTATAATCTGTTAAATGACTATAATTTGACAGTTCTTTACTCTCCCTGTGCACACGTTTCTCTGGATTCATTAGTCTTAGAAAGGAAGAATAATTAAGAAATGTATAACTGACTAGTTTGGTTTAAGCTCTCTATGTTGCAGGACATTTGCATGGATTCCTATATTTTGTATAAGGCAGCCAGCTCTGACAATGGAAGAAAGAATAGAAATGTTTAAAGTGTATAATGTTTTAAGGTTTTGTTTGAACCCTGTCTGGTGTCACACGTGACTGTGTTCACCCTGGAGAATAATTGTTTATCCTGTTTTTAAAACAAATGTTTAGTTTTCAGTCACGCGTCATCTCAAGACTCATGATTACTCAAAGTACTGGGATTAACAGAGGTTTGGGCAAGTAACCTTTTCCACCTGCCTAACCCTTGAGACAATCCTTCCACACCCCTCACACATCAATCTGCTAACTTGATATTAAATTTATTACCTCACAAACTGGAACCTGTTCTAAAATTCAAGTATATTTAAGTTTGGAATATATTAATCCCCTGTATTAGACTATGTTTTTTCCTGTTAGTTTTTTCCTGCTTGTACACAGTATTTTCAGTACCTGCACTGTACACGTGTAAAACAAAGGAGAGAAGACATGAAAAAAAAAAAAAAATGTGCAAAAAAGAAAAAACTGGATCAGAGTGTATTTGTGTGTGACGATGGTTTTATCCGCTTTGATTAAACTCTAATCAACTGGCTGCAAAAACTGAAGCTGATTTGACCGGTGCTTTTCTGCCTGATCTGTCACTAACTTCTCTGTTCACACAGGTTAAAAAAAGATCGGTACCCAACGCAGTGATCATTCTGAAGCTGGTAGGTTATCCTTCTTTTTTTGGGGATATAATCTTTTTTTTTAAAAAACTTACATTTAGCTCTACATTGTTGTGTTTTTATTTCTTACTCAACCCTTTGTTTTTTGTCAGTATTTTATTTTCCTCATTGTTGTCGTTAACCGCCTTTGTGCAAAATCAAAACACAACACAGCACCGACGCAACTCACACAGAGTCATACTGTACCGGGGCCTGGGGGGAGCAGAGCTGAGACACCGGGGACGGAGACGGAGCCACTCTGAGAATAGAGCAGAGTATAAACACCGTAGGGTGATGGTCGCGTAGCAAGGGTTTGAGTGAGAGAACTGAAAACAAAAATACAAACACAGGGAGACTTTAATGACAAGTTACCTACGTTTACACAGGTTTGTGCTAGCACAGCATTTTCTTAGCTTGATTTGGAAATCTTACATCTACATTCTAAATTAAATTTAAAGCATCTGTGATCCTTAATCACGTCTCAGATTATCTCCCTTACTTTGTTTTATTTAAAGATATGAATTAAAGATATACAGGTATCTGTCTAACTTTCTCCAGGTTGTCCTTCAGCGAGGCGTATCTTCAGTGTTTGATAACTTTGATCATCATCCTGCTGATAAGTGAGTATTATCATTTTTAGTCTAAATAATCTGTTGTATCTGGCCCAACAAGTTTTATTGTGAAACTAATCGACTTTTGATACTTAAAATGCGTAGCTTTAGGATAAATAAATAATATTATTTCTATATTTAAAAGTAAATTCTTAAAAAAAATGGTTCGGGCATCAGTGGTTTTGGTCCTTACCTTATTCTTACTTATTCTATAACTGCAGTACTACTGCTATACACAAAAACGGACACACCCACTGTGTATTTTTTAAAATATTTTATTCAAATTTATGAACACATTTAGCTCGTCTTTAATAGCAAACATTCTTAATCAAAAATTCTAAAGTAAAAACATCAAAGTATTTAAATCTTGAATATCACTAAGGAATTATTATTATTATTATTATACACATAGTGGCAAAAACAAGGCATTAGTCACACAGACTTGTTGTGAAGCTGCGTTAGTAGACGCTGCATGGTGGCTGTTTCTGTCAGAACCACACAGCTTACCTTCATTCCTCCGGTCAGCAGCACTGTGAGGTCAACCTACGTCTGCTGATAAGGCTCAGGCAAATCTACAGTGTAAAACATTCTTTCTCAGAAAGAACACAGCACCAAAACTGACATATTTGTTTTCATCCTCACAAACATTCAAATGTGCACTGCTGGCCTTCTGGTCAACACTGCACGTTGTTCTGGCTCCTAGTTCAGTTAATCAGACATAATGGTAGGATTCAGACACCATTTGTATCATTAACACAAACAGAACAGCCTCTATGTTTCAGTCCACGCTGTTTCACCAGATTCAATTTACCTCATGGAAAACCTGGGTTTCCTTATTATTCAGTCTTTTTTACGAATTAATGGCAATTTTATTTTTGCTCTTTGCTTAAAATGTGTTAGCTAAAAAAAATTTTTTTTTGGAAACAATTTTTGGTCACAGACCATAGTGTTTGTGAACACAGCCTGGAAGTTAGCGCACTCAAGATATCACTACTAGTGCTATGCAACATGTAACATCACTATGTGTGTAACTGCATCATTGTGATTTGGTAGTATAAACAAAAGCTAGTCATATACCTCTGTTTCTCTTAGTCACTGCTGGGTTGAGTCAATGTGAACTGCAGTCCAGCTGCAGCTACAGGGATCAGAACCAGTGGGACAATAAACTTATTCAGTAACCAAGCCATAGTGGACAAAGACAGCAACCAGAGTGGGAATTAAAATCCACCTCAGTGAAATAAACACAGACATGAAGATTAATTACAGCAATTTTCTAAAGTTTAGGGGGAGGTACCTGGGGAGTGTAGGGGGGGTGGAGGGGTAGCAGGTTAAATTAAGTCAATATTTTTAATTTGTGCCTCAGTGAAAAAAAAAGTTCAGTGATTCAGTGAGTAGCTAACGTGAAGGGGGAGTGCTGCAGAAAAAAAGGTTAGGAAACACTGACTCAGAAGCCAAGGGGAACTGAGGTACGTGTGTGACTGCATGTGATGTTTTGTACTGTGATTTGACACCTGGTCAAGGATCACGTCATGTTGCATTTCACTAGTGATGAAGGTGAAAAAGGACAATAAAAACTTGAGCAAATTGTTTTTCTGCATTTCACTAGTGATGAAGGTGAAAACTGGACAGGATACGGACAATAAAAACTTGAGCAAATTATTTCTCATTTAAAATAACTAATAATTGTCTTCAATGTTTGGATGAAAATATTACCGTTGTTGTTTTAGTAGATCGTTCCAGAGCTGCTCAGTTACTTAGAGTAGTTTTCACCCAGTAGGACAAACACCCACACAGTCGAAAAAACACACAAACACACACAAGTAAACACTCACACACTCCTCGGGACACAGTGGGTTCAGAGGGTACACTGGTGCTCTCTCTCTCTCTCTCTCTCTCTCTCCCTCTCTCTCTCCACGGCCTCCTCTTTTGTCGTGTCCTCACAAGGGCAGCCTTTGTGCTCCGTCTCAGTACGAATGTGACCGAGACAAAGTGTGTGTATATTTTTTCTCCTAGTGTCTGTTTGTGCGTGAGTTTGTGTTATGTGCATTAATAATAAAGGGCTGTTCCCCCACTGTGCTGGCTCACGGCCCACCACCAGTGGGCAGGACAGTGCAGATGGAACACAGGCCGGGAAGTGAGCCTCTTCATTGTCTGTTGCATTGCTGTTGTTGGAGTGGAGGCAGCAGGCTGGTGCACAGATGGACTATAGTGGAGCACTCCTAGTGGTGATGATGAACGTGGCAGCATCGGAGATGTTTGTTCGGACCCTCACCCTCCGTGTGTCTTTTCTGTCTGACGTCTTTATTCTAGAACAGCAGGAAAGCTGTTCCCACACTTGTAACACACTGACTTCACCGTTTCAGGTCGGCCGTGTGAGGGTAGAGCGGATGTCAGTGTAGTTTGCCGTTGTTGTTGGAGTGAACCTTCAGCTGGCACTGGGCTGAGGGCGAAGGAGGGGTGGAGGAAGGAGAGGAAGAGGGGAGTGTGTGGGTGGCAGCCGAGGGGTTTCTGGGTTTGTGTTTTGGATGCAGCGCGATCGCAGCCAGAATGCTGAGGATGTGCACATGGAAATACATAGACCTAAGAGAAAGAGGAGCAAAAAGACGAAAAGAAAAGCAAAAGGAATCAAAAGGTTTGGAAACACTACTTTAGAGTCTTTGTCACCGTAAACCATGTACCAAACTGATGATTACAAGGTGGAAATTACAATATTTTCTTCATTTGTGCCACAGTGAGAACATATCAAATGAGTCTTTACACTTTACCCCAGCACATACCTATAGTAGACTAAAGTAGAGTCTACTGCCAGAAGTAGAAAAGGCATGACCGTGTAGCAGATGGCCAGCTGGGTCGCCGCCCAGGTCAGAATGTCGTAGCCCATCTTCACGCCTCTTGAACCCAGGAAATAGTGACGGATATACTTTCTTATCTAAAAAGAAAAAGAAAGGGTAAACAGTTTGACCAGAGAGAGTAAACTGAGAGTTGAGATATAACAAACCAGCTCCGGCTAAATGTTAGGACTCAAAACATTTTTCTTTCTAGAAAGGTCAAAAGTGCTGACTTCATGGACTCACTGCTCGTGCTGCTATGGTGATGGGGATGGCTGTGATGAAGGTGAAATAATACCCAGGATAAACACCGTGCCACAGGGCAGACAGGACAAAGGTCAAAGGCAGCTGGTGTTTGGGGGCTCGATCATAACACACACTGAGGAAATCAAACCTGGTTAATCAATATATGTGAAAATTAAAAAAAAAAATCATCACACTGAGGAAATCAAACGTGGTTAATGAATATATGTGAAAATTAAAAAAATAAAAATTCAAGAATATTTATGGTCATTTCTGCTGCTCTCACGTTTTGAGCCAAATTCCTGTCCGAATGTTCCAGTTGTCTATAAATGTCTTAAAACTTGTTGCAGTCTGGAAAGAGACGATACAGATCAGTTAAAGAATAACCCACACGACAGCAACAGGGAACACGGACCTTACATTTGCACCTCTCTATCAGTTTAATCTTCCTTCATCTAAAAAACGTTGGAGAGCGACGGTGCGGACAACAGGACGTACCTCGATCCCTACGATGTTGAGGTTACAGATGAGATCCCATGATGCTTTGCCATGTTCATCGATTCCCAAGAAACCATAGCCAGCAGCGTTGTTCACAGCATCAGCTGGAAAATAAAACCATATCCTACTGTGAAAGGCCTGAATAAACCATCACTGATCATCTTTATCTCAGGAGTGGACCAACTGCGTGTTTACCCAGAGTCCAGGCAAAGTAGAATTTGGGTCTCGCTGCTTGTATTGAGAAGAAAGCGTAGGTGAGCCTGGTGAGGAAGGGGGCGTGAGCGACAAAGTGGGGGTCCACGTTGAACGTTATGGGCAGGTTTCGAGTCACAATCAGGAAGAAGAGCATGCAGCCAAGGCAGATGAGAAGCTTCTGACAGACGGCCGTCTGTAGAGAAAATCCATAACTTCTCAGTGATGGAGACAACGGGCGTTAGTGACGAAAGAAGAATGATTACACAGCAAAATATACATCTACAGTATGTGGTTTGCTCAGGCTACTGTTTGTTATGGTTGTCTCTTATCATGTGCCTTGTTGTTTCCCAAAGACTGCATCTTGCGACCCTCAGGTGGGTCGCAAGATGTTTTTTTTTTTGGGTCGCCTCGCATCATGTTTCCCAGGAATTTACGAATAATGTCTATTGACTTGAGTCGCGAAGGTTTGTGACTTTTTTCTTCTAGGTCCCCAGAAAAAAAGTTCTGGAA